AGCAGACCCCGGTGCTCATGGGATCTGGGGTCCTGCAGGGCAGGGACGAACCTCATGTCCAGCACCAGCTCACAGGGGATGCGGAGGAGGGATGCTGCGGAAGGAGAGACGGTGATCAGCATGACAGGGACCTGCACCGCCCGCCTCAGGGGGCCACCACCACTGACCCCCCCCAAGCTGATGGCTCCTCAGAGCTCTCCTCCTCCCACTGTGCCCAGGCAGAGGGTCCCAAACCCCCCAGACCCACCTCTCAGGAGGGGTGGCTGATCCTCCACGATGAACACCCGTGGGGCCCTGCCTGTCACGGCCGGGGCCAGCGTTGCTTGGGGGGTGTCAGCATCCAGCCACCCTCCGGGGCTGCTCGACGGCTGGACCAGGTCTGCGTCCCTGGGCACTGGGGGGGACCGGGGGCCCCCATGATAGTCCAGGGTCCTGGGGGGATCAGTTGGCTGCTGGGGGGATCCTGGCACCATGGTGGGCAGATGAGTCGGGGGCCCCCACGTCAGCCCTGACACATCCCCCTGCAACACCGTGGCACTGGGATCCGACGTGACTGCCCCCACGTCCCCGAGCAGTGCTGGGCTGGCGGTGGCAGCTGTGATGGTGGTGGTGGTGGTGACAGCGGTGGCAGTGACACCGATAGCAGTGGTCAGCTCCAGGGAAGATGCAGGCTGGGACAGAGCCGGCTGCCAGGGGGGCCCAGTGGCTGTGGGGAGGGCTGGGCTGCCTGGCTGCCAGCTTGGCGGGACAGTTGCTGCCCAGGGCCCAGCATCACCCACCCCCACTGGGGTCCCCCTCGGGATTTGGGGAGTCTCAGCAGGATCCCCCCCCGAGCCCATGTGGGGCAGCCCTGGGGATGGCCCTGCTGGGGGGGTGCCCACAGTGGTGCCGAGCCCCGGGACACCCCGGCCGGTCCCCAGGGAGGGCTGTGGGGTCGGTGATGTGGGTGTTGCAGAGCCACTGGTTGGGGCAGGCTGTGGGGACGGGGGGACACGGTGGGACCCTGGGCTGGTGCGGGGCACCCCGCTCTGTGCCGCAGTGCTGCTGCCCGGGGCCACCGAGGCGGAGGGCTGCCCCGGCATGGCTGGCGGGCGCCAGGTCTGGTCCAGGGGGACCTGGGTGTGCTCAGGGGGACCCTCTGTGTCAGGTGGCCTCAAGACCCTTGCAGTTGGGTCCAGGGCTCCCCCCAGGCTAAGAGATGTCACCCCTGGGATGCTGGCTCTGGCAGTGGGTACAGGCAGACCCGACCCCTTGCCTGCAGCAGGCAGTGAGGTTGGATCCGCCCCCACGACTGGCTGGGCTGTGCTGGTCACAGGGCCCCCATGGCTACCAGCCCCCAGGGATGGCAGAGAGGGGCGAGGGGCAGAGCGGGGACCCTGCCAGGCAACATCTGTCCCATGCCATGGCTGGGAGTCAGAGCCCTGTCCTCCTACCAGCCCCGGCAACCCCTGGAGTGTCCCCCCCAGTGTCCCTGTGGGGGTCAGCAGCCTCTGCAGCCCCCCTGCAAAGGGCAACATCCCGATTGTCCCCGGTGCAGGACTGTCTGTGGCCCGTGCGATGCTGGGGCGAGTCCCTGGGCTGCTGTCACCCAGTGGGACAGTGGCACCCGGGCCCTCCCCAGCCCACGGCTCCGGGGATGAGGGGCCGTGTGAGCCTCTCCAGCTCTGCATGAGTGCTGTCCCCAAGGGGCTCCAGCCCAGCAGAGTGCTGGGGGACCCCCACTGCCCCCCAGCCGAGCCAGGCACTGTCACGGAGGATGGTGAATGCGAGGGGGTCCCTGGTGGGGTCGTGGTACCTTCCACCGTCACATTTCCTACAGGGTCAGTCCTGGGGGGGTATCTGGTGGTAGGAGCTGTGTCCGGCCCCACAGGGGCGGGGGCCCCCACACTGGTCACCCCTGGGCTGGCAGGAGATGGCCGCCCGCTGCCTGCAGCTGCCTGCTCAGCGGTGCCTGCAGAGAGTGGGAGCCCTGGGCGCTCGGTGGCTGCTCCATCCTGCACCGTGGGCCCCGTCCCCTCCCCACCTGCCCGGGGGCCTCCGGGGCGCCCCTGGGGGCTGGGGGGCTCGTCAGTCCCAGCGGGGGTCCCAGGGAAGGGCAGCAGCTCAGCCTCTGTCCGCAGCTGCCCTGCAGCCTCTGGCATTGGTGCCCGCCCCGTGCCAGCTCCTCGCTCTGGATCTATGGGCAGAGGCAGAAGTGGGGGGACACTGAGCAGGGCTGACCCACAGCCAGCACCCCACAGCCGCCGGCTCGGCACCGATGCCTGTGGCCGGCACGCGGTGCCACAGACGGAGGGCTGTGAGCAGGACAGTCCCAGCCCCGGCAGTACCTGTCTGGCAGCGCTCCCCCGTCGCGGTCCCTGAGGGGATGCAGGGGACGGCAGTGCCCAGCGTGGAGCCCGTCCCACTGCCGAGACCGGGGCAGAGCCACGCACAGCACTCCACGATCACTGCGGAGAGAGCAGCATGCGCTGGCGTCGGGCATCGTGCACCGGCGTTGGGCATCAGCAGCCGGCACCAGGCACCGCGCCCCCGCCGCCCCCAGGAGCTGCCAGCGCAGGCGGGGGGGTCCACTCCTCCCCTCTGCTAACCGTGGGCAGCGCTGCCGAAGGAGACGCTCGGGATCAACCCAAACCCAGCTGGAAACCACCTGCCTTCGTCTCGACAAACAAAACCAACTCCTGCCCCACCCGGCCACGCTCTGCCATGTGCTGGAAATGCCCATTTTGCCCCGAACCAAACCGCCCTCCGGCAAAGCCGCCACGTGCCGCCGCCGGCAGCACCGCGTCCCCGGGCACAGCACCGGGCACAGCACCGGGCCAGCGCCCTGGGCAGGACCCTGGGGCCCCGCTGCGGCAGCGGCTGCTCTCTGGAGGGAGCGGGCGGCTCACCGGGCGTCGGGGAGCAGTGCTGGGGTCACCGGGAGCCCCTCGGGCCCCGCTCTCCGCCAGCGCCTCGCCGGGGCTCCCGCTCCTCCTCCCGCGGGGGCAGCACCCGCCGCCTTCGGCGCGGCGGAGCAGCCCGGGCTGGC